CTGCTTTAATTCTGGTGAACACAAGAAGGAAAGTGGGCATGTATAAAGAGAGCAGGGGTATAGGGAGCCTACCTGCTCTAGAGAGAACTAACCTAGTTCTGTGATAACTGCATGACATATTCAAGTGGGTTATACCTCTCATGACCTAATCACCGTTCAAAGTCCTACCACCAATAATATTAATTGACAATATCAACAGGATATTTTGTGGGGACAAAGCATAGTTAAAAACAGTATCATACTTTTGTTTTTGGTCAGAAGGGAAAATTACCTGAAAAATTTCATAGATCACTATATAAACCCAAGGAAGTGTGAGTATATTCAAGGTAGCAGTATTAGAAAACAGAGAAAAAAACCAACAAATAAGAATGGATAAAAGAGTTGGTGTATATACAGGGGCTTACGTACTACATAGCAATGGTAATTATTTCAAACAAGATTAGAGTGTTGTGTGTCCCTTTATGAAATGGAATGGAGCCTGGTGTTCCCCCAATCACATTTTCAACAATGTTCCATAGAAGGTCTTTTTCATTTATTATTATTATTATTATTATAAGCAGGCAGATTGGAAGGATTTGTAAATCTAAACACAGCTGCTAAGTCTAAATTTAGGCCTGTCAAGATGAGTGTCCCTTCTTCACAGCATGGTTTCTCAAACTCCTACTTTAAGTTGCTTTTTTACCAGATGTCTCTCCATGTATATGTTTCTTGCCCATCAGCAATTTTATTTGCATGGCCTTTTCATGGCAGTATTCTGATTTATCGCACTTCTCACATTGATTTTTTCTTCCTCAACTTGTAAAAAAAAATAGCTGTGTGGGCACAGATGGTGGATGTGATTTAGTATTATCAGAGTAATTCGCATTATATTTATGAGATGTTCCCGAGTAGCATTTTAGTGAGGGACATTAAACAAGGTCACCTCCTAGAGAGGTCATATTTCAACTTTTAACTTGTTTCTTATGGTATTGCAAACCATTTGTTTTAAATTTCAGCTATGTATCTTTTTTTTTATTATTTTAGTAGGAACTTTAGAATCATTTAATAACCATGAAAGGGAAGAGGCAGAATCTTTTCCCAGGAATTACAGGAGTTGGTTATTAACCTGTAAAAAAAAAAGTTAATGAATAGAGCAAGGAAGAAATATTTTAATATTTTTATCTTTCTTCTACCTTTATCTCTACCCTCAAACTTTTATTGTATACACCTCTAGGTGCAGAAATACTGTATTAATTCTCAAGGGCTGCTGTAGTAAAGTATCACAGTCTAGGTGTTTTTCAAAACAGAAATGTTTTGACTCAGAGATCTAAAGGCCGGAAGTCCAAGATCACAGTGTTAGCAGGATTTGCTTCTGGCCTCTCAACTTGGATTGTAGGCACTGATTTCTCTGCGTCCCTTCACATCATCTTTTCTCTATGCATGTTTCTGGTTCAAATTTCCCATTTTTACAAAGAGAACAGAGATATTAAATTTGGTGTCACTCTAATGACTTTATTTAAGTTAATCATTTCCATAAAAACCCTATTTCCAAATAAGGTTACATTCTAAGGTAGTCAGGGTAAGGAGTTCAACATATCGATTTTGTGGGCACACAGTTTCAATAACAAATGCTTTTTTCTAAACCCAAAGTAACAAGAAAATTTACACTTAATTTATAGTAAATTCCAATACCATGCTAACACCATTCTAATCTATTCATTTCATTAAAGTTACTTAAATGATTTCCTTTACAATAGATGTATTGTTTTGGAGTAAGGTTAAAAGACAATGAATGTACCAATAAACTCAATTAAAGCTGAAAAAAATAAAAATTAAAAAATGAGAGAAAAAAAAAGACAGTGAATGAATTCTTGCAACATGTGGGGCTTTCTTGTCTATTATACATATTCAAATCTTGGCCTGTATCCATTCCAAGGTTTTCTTGGTTTTATGTATGTGCACATTTTCATTATATTAGCAACAGGAACAGAATTAAATATGACTTAAGTATAGATTTGTCGTACAGATAATTTCCTTCTCCTCAAATCTCTTGAGGAAAAGAGCATTTTATTGTTTAAAGGACTATGAACTAGTAGGTGTGTATCTTATTGTTGAGAGAAAGAGAAAGCATGAGGGTAGGAAGAAGGGAAGGAGGAATAAGGAAAGGGGCAGGGATAGGAAAGAAGGTTTGTACAGGTGAGATCTTTGTTTGGAAAAAGAGAAAATTGATATGTTTCATCTAAGAAGCCTCAACTACAAAAGGTTAAATGCAGTTATTTTTGGCTAATTGCTTCTTTGGATCATGTCACTTATTTTCATCAGTTCTTCATGTCCAAATGTAAATCTTTTAAGTATTATCAGTATATTTTATTTGGGGAATGAATATAAAACATTTTAGGCAGTCAGTTTTATTGAGGTTTTAGGAATCTTTTTGAGTGATTCAGAGTAATTAAATCCTTCTACTGAAATCTTAGCTGTTGCTAAATTTTAGCCTGTAATTTTCTTTCTTTGCTAGATATTGAAGCATATTTTTATGACACCACACTACACTCCCTGGAATTGTGAGCCTTTGTAAATTCATGCAGATCTTTCCCACTCCACAAAAGGGTTGCATTTTAAGCAGAAGAAATAGAACGTGAAATTATGTAGTAGGTAAAAGGAGTGTGTTGTGGTGAGTTGAGAGGGTGAGTACAAAGAACGCCACAGTGCATGGCGGTATTGTAATGTCAGTGAAATTTAAAGTATGTTTGTCGATCAGATTAAAATTTATCAGCTTAAAAAAACCTTTATGTGAAAGGATTTTGGAGAGAAGATTTTGCACTTGCTGATCTTACATTTATTTGCAAGTTCTAAATTCTGTTAATGGCTGCTTGCTATTCCATTATGTTAGCAACCCATACTTTATTTGAACAACCTCATCTTCACTGGATTCTGACATATTTTTGAATTTTCTATTTAGCTATCCAATCTTGCTGATTTAAGAAAGAAAGAACAAAAAAATGAAGTTGATCCAAGTCTTCTGCCAAAATGGCCCTCTTGTACTCTTTTAACATTATCACCATGGTTTTTGCTGTCTCTGAACACATCATGTACAATGTTGACTCAGTCAAGTTTAACATTTGTTTCTGATTACAAAATGATATGTGCATATTTGTGAATATTTGAAAAATGCAGAGAGCCACATAGAAAAATGTTACATTCAATAGCAACACCAACATCTTGAACGGCTTTTGTTAGCTTATTATTTTTTACTATATACCTTATAAGTTCTTTGCTCTTTCCCTTCCTTTCTTCCTTTCCCCATCTATCATACATGTTAGAATCTAGTGTGTCCAAAGTTTATAATCTTCTACTTTTGTTCAATGACATTCTGTGAAACATTTTTAAAGTTACTCTATATGCTTTTAAAATATTATTTCTAGCTGGAGATTTAGCTCAGTGGTTCCACCACCTGCCTCACAAGTGCAAGATGCTGAGTTCAATCCCCAGTGCCCAAAAAACAAAATCAAAATGAAAAGAAAATTATTTCTAATCACTTTATTGTATTTTATCATAGATAAAATTTATTGTTTCATATCATAGAAATGCAAAATGATTTATTTCACTAAATTTGTGTTTCAAGACATTTATTACCTGTGTGTTATTGTGTATATGATTGATCGAGCTGAAATTTGTCCTCTACTCCCTGGTCCAAAGCATGCATAAATGTTTACATTTCACAGATCTTTTTGTGATCAAAATAGTCTGTCTTTATTAATTTAATGGACCATCCTTATTCTTGTGTCTTCAATTATTTTTTCCCATGATTATATCTCTTTTGTTATTATACCTAAGGGTTTCCTAAATGCTACATTAGAGTTTAAACTTTTTGTAGAAAGAGCCTTTTGGAAAGTGCTCTGGCTATTATTGATGACTCAAAAGCATTTTTATTGATTTGCTTTGAGGAAAACAAGTCCATATTATAATTTCACTCCCCCACACACACTAATACTTCACAATAAAGTGCCTCTTCTACATTTTACTTTAGTAATACATTTGGAGATTTTGAAAATCATTAAGTTCAGTTCCTTAATTAACATAGTCTGAATTAATGATCTCACATTGCCTGCTTAGAAAACGGTAGAGATAGGATCAGAAGCTGTTTTTGGCTTCATTTTTCACTCAGGACTGACTAATTGAGTTGCTAAACTCAGATGGGCTATGTTGCAAATTTGATCTCTGAATATATCAATTTCTCATTCATTTTTTTCATAACAATAGATGAAACTTTTGATTCTACTATCTATATCCTTACTTTTTGGGAAAAATATATCAAAAGAGCAAAAATATAAAGTTTGAGAATAAATCATATTGTTATTACTGTCCAAATTACTCAACTACTGTATTGATAGAGTGAGCTTTATCTTTAAATGTGAATGAGGCATTTTGACTTTAAAATTGACAGCACATTATCCCTTTGTTTCATTTTAAAAATGTATATTTGCAAAAAAAAAAAGTGTAGGACTTCATTACATATTTCTTCCCTTCTATTTGAATAGAACACAGAGGAGAACTCAAATGAGATGATGACCAGAACAGCCACGGAAACTGCTCCTGGGGTTGGGAAAAGAGGTGCCGACCAGTGTGGGATTGAAAATGAGGCAGGCTTGTCCTGTATAATTAGAGCAGGGCAGGTCACTGGTTTAGGGAAAAATTGGTACAGATCGGACAAATAAGTAATTGTATTTAGGCGAATGGGAGCCAGGCTTCTCATTGCCGGTGGAAAGGCCAGAGTAATCTTCGTCTATCAAATTAGAATTGGAGATGCTTGTGAACTCTTAACATCTTATTCTCACTATTCTTAGGGCCAAATCTAAATGAAATGTGTGTATGTGCCGTATGCGTCTATCTGTGTGTGTGATTCTTGTATTTCCTAGCACTCATATTTCGGTTTGTAAATACTGGTCTCCTTTAAAAGGAACCAGAGCTCCTTGGAGAAAGCCTGAATGGATGAAGACAGTGTGGGTTTCAAATTTTCCTGCAGTGTTCTTGGGACCAAATGAAGGAAGAGGGTTGGATGCAGAACTTTTGCTTATTATCTGTACATTCATCGACTCCTCCCCTTCAACTGATGCCCTCAAGTTTAGCGACCCTGCATAAAGCACACTTCCAAAATTCTGCAGAATTGGGGTAGGAATGTCACCATTGCATGGGGTAGGTAAGTGAATCCGAAGATACTTTTGTTTGATTAGATTTTAAACTAGTTCTCTAGTTTTAGTTCTGTCACCAACTCTGAACCCACAGATTACCGGTACTTCCAATTCCTGAGCCTTTCTGGGTTTCTGTATCATTAATACACTTGTGTCTTTCTAGTTAACCATTCTTTCCTGGGTTACTTTTCATCTTTCTGTGCACTGTTTCTAGCACTTGATCAGATTTTTGATTTCTGAAAAGTAGCTGATATATCTTGCTTGCTACAGTTCTTTCTTTTTATCTTTTTTATAGTTTGTGTTGCTATACAGAATACCTGAGAATGAGTAATGTAGAAGTAAAAATTTATTTCTCATGGTTCCTGAGGCTGAAAAGTCCAAGATCAAGGTGCTGACAGGTTCCGTGTCTGCCGAGGGCCGCTCTGTGCTTCCAAGATGATGGCCTTGTTGCTGTGTCCCTACATAGCACAAGGTGGACGGGCAAAAAACCAGCAGCCAGCTATTTCCTGCAGCCCTTTTATAAGTTCACCAGTGCCATCTACAAGGGCTTCACCAGGATTACTTAATCATGTCCTAAGAGCCCTGTCTCTTAATACCATTGCATTCAGGATTAAGTTTCAACATGAATTTTGGAGAGAATACATACATTTAAACCATAGGAATCCTTGAGACTTTATGCCTTTTGTTCATTTCTTTCTCATTACATTTTTTTAGGGATAAGATTTTATGAGAATACCAACAAAAATTAATATACCAAATTTTTAATATATTTTTGAACAATTTTGATGGAGTATAGCTCATACGCCACGCATCACTTCTTTAATATATATATATATATACATTTATATATATATATATGT